TTTCTATTCAGGTGGCATATGTAGGTTGTTCTTAAATATGGCAGCCTCTGTGTCGTCACGAAAGCAAATTCAGTAATGGAGTGAATATTATTTCCAAGGGTGCGATTCGTACTATACTTGACTATAACTCTGCTAACGTTACCATTACGTATATACCTTTATAGTCTGTCTGAAATTATAAATTGTTATGAAATAAATGTAATTTCGTTACGGCCGACAATCAATTTTGTAGCTGGCGAATGTATCATTCTGAGGATCATCCCTTACTTCTTTCGTTAATGGAGCCATCTAGATATACATCATAACACTAACGTTTTCATCATGCGTAAACAAACTGCTGACTAACTTTGTTAAAAGAGAATAAAGAAATTTTGTGATTTTTCGAAACTGTCGTGTGTCAAAATTGTTTCGTTCGCAATCATTGTACAGTTGTATGCGATATTTAGATGAAAGGAGATGGATGACTATAATACATAATTACAAAGTACATTAGCTACGATATAATAGACGTAATCCTCCTCAGACTTTTAAACACAGCTTTACGCGTAGTTTGAACATAACCAATATGTCAGACGTTAAAAGTCTCGAGCATCCAACATTAAAGGTACTTAACGCCTCTTAAATCGTGTCTTAAATTTGTTGGAATGACAAATTATTTAGAATTATTCATGATTTTTTGATAACGCGTTATTTATGTTAATTGCGATGTTAGGTGAATTTTGCTGTTTTTCGTTTTATCACTCTAAAATTTATGACAATTACATTGTAATTTAAACGAATGAAAAAGGAAATATATTAATGCGATATTTTTAGGTTCCTTATGAACTCCTAAATAAAAAATTTCGTTCGGCTCAAAAAACCTTAGATAGGGAAGTCTCTCATGTACAAGCGGCAGCTAATGAATTGTTAAAGGGCGATGGAGCAGGTGTTCCTGCTGGAGAAATAAGCAGACTGTTGGGAGGAGTTGTTGCTAGACTGCAGGTTTTAAAGAGAAAAGCAGAGGAATCTATAGCGGAAGAATTGCAAGCAGGAATGGTGTGTAAAAGACGGTTAGATCATTTAAAGGAACATGCTAACACTGCTCCAAGTGTTGTAAATCAATGGCGACGACAGAGACTCGATAGAATGTTGGTAGAATATTTTCTTCGTAAGGGCTATTATAAAACTGCGACTAAGTTGGCAGACAGTAGCGAACTTAGAGATTTAACAAACATAGGTATGTTCGTTGTTAAAATGATTAAGTAACTTATGGTATGCATATAATTCTTTTTCTCCTTCCATATTTTTAGATGTATTTATGGTATCTAGAGAGGTCGAAAAGTCTTTAGCGAATCATGAGACTGCGAGATGCGTTGGGTGGTGCCATGACAATCGATCTAAATTAAGGAAATTAGGAAGTACTATGGAATTTAATTTACGAGTACAGGAATTCATAGAATTAGTGAGAGCAGATAGAAGACTCGATGCTGTCAAGCATGCCCGAAAATGTTTTGCTAATTACGATGATTATCAGTTGCAAGAAATTCAATGTTGCATGGGACAGTTGGCATTTCCAGCTAATACATCTCTCAGTCCATATAAAGATTTATTAGATGAGAAGAGGTAAATGTGTTCTTTATTTAAATGCTAATATAAATGGTTTTTATATTTAAATTAATAATTACATTTATAAAAAATGTAGAATAACATTATATTGTTTACAGGTGGGATAGATTAATAGAGCAGTTCAGACATGAAAATTATAGACTATTCCAATTAGCAAGTCAAAGTGTCTTTACGGTAGCTCTACAAGCAGGTTTGTCAGCATTAAAAACACCTCAGTGTTATAGTGCAAAAAAAGAGGGTAGGAACCCAAATTGTCCAGTGTGTAATGAGGCACTTAACGAATTAGCTGCTCCATTGCCTTTTGCTCATTGTTCACAGTCCAGGCTTGTCTGCAGTATTAGTGACAAACCGTTAAACGAATATAACCAACCAATGATGATGCCAAATGGATACGTATATGGAGAGCAAGTAAATTGAAGCATTCATTTTTCATTAAATGCAACATTATTAAACTATGCTACTTTAAATTAATCGGATTTTATTTCAGGCGTTGGAGAAAATGGCTCAAGAAAACAATGGTATTGTGATTTGTCCAAAAACCAAAGAAGCGTTTCCATACAAGAAAATAGAGAAAGTTTACGTTATGTAAAATTTACTGACTCGCGACACAACTTGTACTATGTACATTTCATCTTTCTTTTATCCTAACTCTGAATATTTACTGTTTAATACTGTATACCAACATTAACAAAGGGAATAACATCTATTTTTAAGGAACTATTGTTTTTGTAAATTTCATTTGTGTTTACCTACTAGAATAAAGTAAGAAGCTACGTAAACAGATTATATATTTGTGTTATCAAACACGTTCTAGTTTTTCAATATGAAATGGTGTGCAAATTATTACAATATAGTTGGATATTAAATATAAAGTCAGAATGGTCCTTATTCATTTATTTAACATCATCTCTACAATATATTGAACGGTCGAAAACAATTCCATAGATCTACGTTTTATGACGCATTTGTAACCGTGAACTTTGTAAGTATCTTACAGTGATTTATATTTATACTACGCATGGCCAAAAATTTCGACATAATAATGGTAAGATTCGTAATAACATCGATGTAACCTGATCTCTAGTTTGTTACATAATTTATCGTAATACCATTTTTATATAGAAACAGATGTACGTGCTTGCACTTTTTTTCATAGTCAATAATTTTTAAATATGTATTTTACTGAAAATGTCTAATCTAGATAATATGATATGCATCAAGCAATTTTGGATGTAACATGTCCACGACTGAATCAATATAAAAATATCCCCTCTATGCCTCTATCAGCTTTAAATTCAACGATCTTTCATTCATGGGTTTCATTAAATTTCATTTATAATTTATTGTCTGAATTGCTTCATGCGGAGGATTGTCCTTCTAGGAATTCGGATTCTATATTTTAGAATAAAATTTATGGTCAACTTGGGATACAATATTTGAGGTAATTTAAGTAATTTAAGTCTTTCTCTTCGTTAGCAAGATTTAAGTTCGTGAGTATACGAGATTACGATAACGAGTTAGCTGAGTATAATTTGAAAATGTGTAAGAGTATCGATTATGATTACGTATAAGAGATAGAAATAGATGACAAACAGTAATATAAAGAGTGTAACAGTATAGCTTACAAGTTACCGAATATATACATACAAAGTGTTACCTCACAAATAGGACGTTTAATTATTTTCTTTACTTTTAGCGATACGGTAAAATGTTTTAGACATAATTTAAGTCATTTAATTTAAATTATGTTTGCATCATTTTTCGGTACCGTTAAAATGAAAGGAGATAAATGCATGTCTTGTTTCGATGAAACATCTTGTATAATAAAACTGGAAATTTGTAATCGTCACATGTTATAACATGTGGAAGCACTTAGTCAGTATTTACAGATTCTGCTAATTGTACCTGAACAAAAGATCATGTTCAATGATGTATACTCTTTTTTGTCGCCCTTTATAACGAAAACAATGTATTTATGTCGTACTAGGTGCAACAAAGCTCATTTTATTATTTCTAATTCATATTAACCTTGAATGATTTCTTATTATTCATATAGTACTTCATTTTATGTATAAATATATCAATAAAATAATAGTAATAGTATACATCATTTAGAAATCATTTAGGAAAAATAACCTTATTTAATGTATAGTACGTAATATTTCACATCTTCGAGTCAAAGATCCGGTATAGATATATGTGTAAATAAGTACAATACATCTCATAAATGTACAGAAAATATTGTAGTAGAGCTTTATTGAGCTTATAACATGCCATGCGATTTTCTGTTGACATGTTACCATTCATTTATACACGCCGTCTTAATTACGTTTCAATGCACGGTACGTTAATTAAAGCGAAGTACGTAGTAAGCAAGTAGTATTAAATACCATAAGAGAGTCTTTAATTGCAGGAAACAAACTACAAATATGAAACTATATAAATTGATATATATAAGTATATATATCTATAAAATAAAACAAAAACTTTATTGTCATGACCTTCATTCAGACTATCGACAATCAGATCTTTTCGTAATCATCTATGAAAATGTATATTGTACCTTTCATGAGTAATAAGTTGCTTAACAAAATAAGCACTAACTGCAAATATTAGTTCTAAGTGCTATCAAAAAATTAGTATAAAATTAACACGTCAAAGTATATAAAATCGATATGATATAACACATCACGAAGATAATACAACCTGCTGATTTCTAAAAATAACAACGTAAACGTATAAATTATGATAAAACAATATACCATACCTTGACAAATGTTAATTGGTCTGTGCGAAACTTACATGTATTCTAGTAAATAACACTCTGACGTGCCATTTAAATGCATATAAGTGTTTTGGAACAAACTGTAAATACTTCAAGTCAGTCGTTACAGTTACTGAGCATGTGACATTAAAACAAACTATCTAGCGTTTAAGCAGTTTTGTCATCCAAATTATACACAGCTCAGTTCTGAATTGATTATGCTGTTAGTACAAAAAAGTTAACAAAGCACAGTCTTATCTTAAATTTGGTCTATGTAAGTAACAATTGTTAACCTTTTGCGTTCGAAAATAACCTCTCCAGTCACCACTATTTTATTAATTTTTAGTAATTTTTCTAATTCAGAAGAATTTGTTTGCAATCGAAGAATCGAATATGTGATTGTCAAGCACATTTTCCTGAATTCGGAAAATTACACCAAGGTAGGTGACGGGAAATAACTTTTCGAGTGCAAAGGATTAAATGAACAGGTCTTAGATGTGCTTATTTTAGCGGCTCTGATTTAACGTATGCATGTGAAAAATCTAATAATACGTGGTTAGTAAGGCTTATTGGTCCAATCTAGTAGCAATAGTTCCATTGGGGCAGTGATTAAACATTAAGATCATTAATGTGAATTTGAAGTGGTAACAAGCTTCTATTTGTTGGTTGAAGTCTTAAACAATTAATCGTGAAATATGAAGTCATTTTTTACAATACGAGCTCGATAATTTCAGGTAATTTTTGAACCTCTCGTTTAACGCTATTCCTTCCTGTCTCACAAGTGAAATAAAAAAAAAACTTTGTGTTAATTCAAATACAAGTTAATAAATAAATATAATTCACTTTCTGCTCGAAGAATTAATCGTACAATTAAATAAAATTTATTCTCAGTTTCATCAGTGCATGTGATGAGAAATCTACTAAATTCGTTAACTTAACCTCAAAAACAATATTACGTCAAAATCAAATTGTACTTCGTGTTAATGAATTTCATATTCATTACATTTCCTTGTGCTCGTTTTGATTTGCCTATTTAGTAAATATCTTCAAAAACGCGGTAATTTTTTTTTTGTTTCATTAAACGGCGCATACATTATGACATTGGAAATGTAACATGTGCTACCAAAGTGGGCATGACCATTGAAAACAATAGTCCAGTAAAAATTCCTGTAATTAGCGATGCTGCGCCAAACATACCAGCTGTTGCAGCATATTGCGTATCTACCGTTCTGAAATTAAAATATGCAATTATGAATTTTCAAAAATGATTGGAAGAAAAATGTCTTTCTTCTCGATCGATGAATTCACGAGCCTCACCTGGGACAATACATCATGGACAACGATGAAAAATAGCCGCTACTTATACCCATTGTAACAGCAATCACAAAATAAACCCAGTCGTTATTGATATACACTGGCAATATTCTTGTAGTATGGCTTGGTTGATAGTTACACAATAAAAACAATGGTATATACAAAATACGTAAAACGACTGGGATCACCAAGTACTTTTTACTAGGCTGTACAAAGAGAAATAAAAATGATTGCACAACCAGTTTTTATGTATTTGGCACCCGATGAATCTTCGGATTAAATTTACTCACCCACTGAACTAACGATGCGATAGAGCTTCCAATTAGAGCGGTGGTATTAAACGTGAGGAAACACATAATGGTAGTGTAATACTTTGGTGTGACTATAAAGTCCGGATCCGAGATCTGTATATCAGATTGAACGGCAGGAAATAGAGCAAGAGTTACGAAAAACACGAGAAATGTGTTGAAGCATTGAGGAAAACATTGGCAAAATATTTTCCAATAAGGCGGTGTATCGTTTTTGCCTCTCGCGCTATTTTCCAACTGCCTCTTGTTAACTCCTTTCTGGTATAATAATTCACGATATCGGTAAAACCTCTGCAAACGATAACAATTAATATATAACGTTACGCATAATCCAAGTCGTCGCTCTACTTATAACAGAAAGATATGCCTTACATTTATTGGAAGTGCGAAATAAGTATCGAAGCATGCGAGAAGAACGAACAGCGCTGTTATAAAGTAATATATCGCAGCAGTTCGAGCATTTGGCGCCATATACTGAGCAAGTAAATTAATCAGGGCCGTAAATGTTCCACTTATATTCTGAAAATAGCATGAAAGTAATATTATTTGTACAAATGTATGTTACATAACGTTTTTATCACAATTTATTTACCGTGCCTAAGACAATAGCTCCGGTGTACTTTGTGGGTAATTTTGCTACCATACCAAACACGGAGTTTTGGTAAATTCCATTAGCAGCTGAAAGAGATTTTACGGATTAAAAATAAATATTGTGCGTGCAAAGATATTGTAATAAAAAAAATTGAAAAATTGAGCGCAATTTAAAAGCAATAAAATGATCAATCGTAGAATGTAATTTGAAAAAAACTATACAACTTTTATGTAAAAAATTTTGAGAAAACAAAATGTTTTACATCTTACTGTTTAATACAATAACAGAAGCCATGGTGATCCAGAAAAAAATACCAGGCCAGCCAGAGCTATCGGTCATTGCCAAAATAACGGTACATACAAATACTAAAACTTGTACGAAGATGCCCCATACTATACGTGTTGTCAAATTGCCACTAAAAGTACAACACACATTTTAAATGTCAACATCTTTTTAGCTTGAGATTTAATTTAATCAGAAACTGTAATGATCTACAGAACGATAAAGACATCAAAGTCTAACAAGAAGAGAACTTACCGTCTCCCCTTCCGATTTTAATCTACTTTTGCAGGATGATAAATTACTCTGCAAAAGTAAGTTAAAATTGGAGAAGGATAGGTCTAGTACGTTTCTTGTAAGTAAGTATATTAAGCGAGTGTCATTAAAAATATACATACCCGAATTGTACAAATACATTTAACCAATTAAAAAGTAGATTTGGTATTTGCGCCGCAAATCCTAACCAGGCGAGAAAATTTGTGGCATAATTTGTAACGATCCCTGTATATTCCTCTGATAATTTATAGTGTACAAAATACTGAAAGAATAATTAAGGATTAGAAATGCGTCATCTGTATTAAAGAAGAATACAATCTCGATTTTTTTACCCTAGAGATAGTATTTCCTCTTAAATTGGAAATTAAAATAAATACATAGTTTAAAGCCTCTTACATCTTTTGCTGTTATGAACATATTCCATGGCATCAAGGCGCCAATTCCATGAAGTACCATTATACAGAACACTACATTTAATCTAAATTTACATATACAAACATTTTAATATAAACAATTATAAATATCTAAGTATATTCATTCTATATGTTATCATTTACCTATCCCTGGGAGGATTTAATTCAAGGTCTGCTTGATCCATTGTAACTCCTTTGAAGTTCAATTCATCGTCGGGTCTACCTGTACCCTCCCATCCAGGGGAAAGCCGAACGGGTTCGGTACCTACGACAAAAGGTTCACAATATGGTTTGCGCGATGCCCGTACAAATTTAATACTGCTGCAGTGTAGAGCTATACTAACAACACTTTAATAATGCTTCAATTTAAAGCAATTTATTAATTCAACGTAGACAACGCGAACATAGAATACATGCATTATGTACACATATGATTTCATATTGATATCTTAAGCTTATGTAATGTAAGGAATGATACACGCATGAATGCAACATTTGACTTTGGGAACACAAATGATGTTGCTTATACTTTAAAAGAAATTAAGTATTAATTACCATTTGAAACGTGAACTCTAAAAGTACTATATGAAGCTTTAACGGAACCTGTGGAGAAGACATTCGCGGAAAGTTTATTCTACTTGTACTTCATTGCTGTCTAAATTGTACTCCTGTATAATGTGTATGCTGTAAGCATGTAACATAACATATCAATACCAAGTATTGCGAAATTATAAAAAATAATAATTTTTTGCTATCTTCTGCTTCATTAAAGTTCCTTTTTAAACTGTAATATAATAGTCATGCTTTAGCTTACCATACAACACATATATATCCTAACATCTTGCTTACTTTGTGTCAGCAAAAAACTAACTTTGCAAGTGAAACACAATACTAGTGCATACACAGAATGTCCCACAGGTTTTCATACAAATTTTGCAAGAAGATTTTGTGGCTAAAATGTTAAATATTTTTCCTCTGTGTCTTTCTCATATGTTTTAAGAAAATGTAATGAAAGTATTTTTTATGAGAAAAATTTGTACGAAGACATATGAAATACTCTGTAAAATCATTTTCATTTCTTTTTATTTTATTAAAAAAAAAAAGACAATTTCAATAAATCATTTTTAGCATATAATTGCATTTATATTGTTTTACTTGTTTGAATTCACATTATGCCAAAAAGTAGCAGTAAGGAGCACGGTCTTACATTTATCTTCTTTTGCTATCTATTTCTTTATCTTTACAACCTCTTTGTAATCTATATAATTGGATTTTTTAATAGAGATATATACTCTTAAGTGTAGATACGTACTTCAATGCAAAGTACTCCAGATTCGTGTGATTAATTCTTAAAAAAACATACCACTCAATGAATTTTAAAAAGGACCTTCTTTTTTTTTGATTTTCATAATAATTCACATTATCATAAGTAGTACTTAACATTACATAGAAAACGTCAAATCGAGACTGGTCTTTACCAGAAAAGCTCTGGATCAAACAAAAATCGACGTTACACTCTGAAATGGTTGGAGTATGCCATCCAAGGTGTACCGTGTTGAATGTTCTCTACCAAGGGACCGGTTTGGCCGAGTATTTGCAGTGAAAACAAAAAAAACAAAAACAAAAAAAAAAGAAGAAAGAAGAGTAAAACACAGTTCCAAGAAGGGTAGAGACCCCGTTATTTGAAATTACCAGAAGCTAAAAGGATGAAGGCTCGAGAAAGCGACAGAGATGGGAAATATCGTATACCTTTCGCGGGCACGATGCGGGTTCCATTCGAATCTTTCAATAAAGTCTGTTCCTCGCTACCCACGCCGAATTCCTTCTTCGTGTAACTGCCCGCCATTTTTCCGCAAAGTTTTTAAACTTGGATCGTGTCAAAGGCCGTGTAATAAAGGTTAATGCATTTCACGTGACGTTTCTCAGACGATAAGTATTTATAATCGCAGTTTCGTTCTCTCTTTTATCGGGTGGACGGACGTGTTCGTGGTGATTCGAACGGCGTTGGAGAAATAGTTGGCAACGATGGTTATTTAATCGACATTTGTGGAGTCCTCCCGGGTACTATACTTCGATACTTTCGTTCGCAAAAAAAGGCTTTGCAAGAACCTTTTATAGTATCACTGCATGATCCGATGGTTGAGACGTTGAGTTATGAATAGAACTGTTCCCCAACGTGCACGACGTACCATGTTTCCGCTTGTTTTTTTTTAGGTTATGAGATAAGACAGAGTTAGAGTTTGAAGATTTAACTCCACGCTGCGCGAAGATTCACGAACTGAACCGAGGTGACGTTAACGTTACGAACGACCGCGCGCGCCTATCATATTCAAATTGCAGAAAAAGAAAAATCTCGCGTGACGAATGCGGCCAATGCTATTTATATAATAGAGCAATTGTTTCAGCGAATAGAGAGCTCCTTATTCAATGCGATTAAACAGGTTTTCATTGCACGATCGGTGCGTATAAAACGTCGACCGTCTATAGTTGAATTCTTGCGACACGATGACATCAGTTAAACGACTTTTAATTACCAATTACAGTACGCTATCTATACGGCGTATCCTGTTTCTGCTGCAATGTTGTAGGGATGTTGCAATATTTTCAATTATGTTTATAGTTTCATCGCTGACATTAATTTAACGTCAATCTATCTCTAAATTGTACGACTGGACGTCAACTAAATTTAACATTGAAATTAAACAAACGTTTAAGAAAAATATTTCACTCGTTTATTCGTGGAAATGTTCCATTTGTAATCGTAACTTTCTTTCGGTGGGGGAATGATACTTTGATATCAGTAAAGAGGGTGAACGGAGTAATCAATGTTGAGAACTGTCGCGATAGAGAATGCATAGATATTACACGGATCTTTTAATAAAGGAGCGACTTAATTACATAATTATTTACAAGATTTTTATTAACCCCATGTTTCAACCTGATATCGATTTTCGTTTTCTAACCGTTTAATAAAACTTTCTGCTTCTTCTTCGGTTAGCTCTGAAACTTCCTTGACTAAATTGACGAATTCTTCGCGAACACAATCTGGCATATTTTTGGAATTACCCGCTAGGTAAACGTTACCATTTTTGCAAAGAAAATTCCAACATAGTTGCTTTTGATCACGTATAACGTGTTGTACGTATCTGAAATATTTATAAAGCAATAAGTTATACAACAAATAGATACACAAAAATAACTACTCTTACATTTTACGATCTTGATCCCTTGAAAATGCACAGAATAAATTTAAATGCATTTTTTCTTTTAAGTACTGAAAATCATGTTTACAATGATAATCTTTTTCTCTGTTTCTACAGCCAAAAAATAGAACACAATTACTTAAATCACTATGCATTGCAGACTTGTCCAATAGTACAGATCGAAATGGTGCAACACCTGTGCCAGGACCAATAAGTATCATCGGTTTGTCGTATGCAAATTTAAATGTTCCCTTTTGTATCCAAAATATTATTTTGTCTCCCTCTGTTAATCTTCCCAGCCAGTTTGAGCACAAACCGTACCTTGGTTCTAACAGTTTCGTTTTGTACTTTACTACAGCCACTAACAGATGAATCTCATCTTCTGTAACCCTTAAACTCGAAGCTATGCTAAAAGCGCGAGGTTTTATGGGAGACATAATTTCAAATAGTAATTTTATATTTAATTTACTAGTTGTATGAGGAAAGTCTGCTAGTAATTCTAAAATATTTCTTCTCGGTCTATTAATGTAATCATATAGTTCTTCTTGACCACTCGAAGTTGTAAATTCATGAAACTTTTCCTTCTCTAGTTCATTTTCGCTAATAAAGGACAGTACTTGCATTGTAGATCTCCGGGGTTTGAAATTTAAATCCCAGTATTGTTCTACAATCTGTTGTAAAGTCAAAATTTGTTTTAAAACGGTAGGTACTTTAACTTCTTTCTCTGATACTTGAATCTTTATGTCTGGATGTAATTCTACATTGTTACTATTCAATATATTAAAGAATTTTTCAACTTGCTCCTTCGAATTCTTTGGTCTAACATACATTATGTCTCCAGGTTGATAATCGATATTAGTTGATGTAAATTTAATTAATCTGACATCCTGAAAATGATCTTCTGTAGTAGTTCTTGTGTTTTCAATTACTGTACCAATTTTCATTTCATTGTTCACAAGTAATTCTTTCATGTAGATATCATTGTCTAAGCAGTACGAATCTCTTAAAAAATTTGAGTTTATCTCAGAGACATAAAATCTTTCAATTATTTTATCTTGATCATTGACCATATCTGTTGCAGAAACATTAAATGCGTCTGAAATCTTCTTCCATAACTCTTCTTGCCAAGGATCGATAACAGCATCTATTCCTAAATCATGCTGATCATCTGCCAATCCGATAGGCAGCAATTCCTTTGCACCTAGTTGCATCAACCGCTTGTTTAATTTTTTTGCTGCAAAATTGAATTTTTGGTAAGAACTGTCACCTAAGCCTAATATGCCATACTTTATATTAGAGAGCAGCATCGCTGGAAGACTTTTTCGTAGTAGAAGTCTCCAAAACTGTCTCATGTTATTAGGAGGGTCTCCTTGGCCCGTAGTAGCAACAACAAAAACTACTAGTTTTTCTGTGTCTAGATTTTGAATGTCGTAATCGTTCATTGCATAGACAGTACTGTGTAAACATTTTCTGAAACAAAAACCAAGGCATTTATCTAATATTAAACTAAACTGGATATTAACCGAGTCATAGCAAATGTGTTAAAATAAACAATGTGTGTTCTCTGTGTACAAAATAAAGGAAGAACAATGACAAAACCTTTTGGCACTTTTCCATATTTGTTCAGCTACGTCTTGGGCAGTGCCAGTCTCACTACCGTACAATATCGTAATATTCGTTTTACTCATTTTAACATTCTATGTTGTAAAACATTGTTTGCTAAAGTTTATAATAAAATAGTTCTCACTGTTGCTGCTAGATGGCGATTGTTTTTTAACTAGTGACGCCATCGGTGGGAAAACGCCCAAGTTTGAAGTGAATATAGGTTCCGCTCGTTTTTGTAAGATGGCGCCACCGATACCTTTGAATTAATTGTTTTGTATTTTGCATAAATGGATAATTAATACAACTGCTTTCTAACACTATAGTATATAATTTCAATGTTATATAATTTCATTGTTTAAACATTTATTTTAATAGTCATTTTAATGCAGTTATAAGTACCGATTTCGTTAGTTATTGGCGCCATCTAACAGGAACAGTGGGAACTATTTTCATTACAAACTTGAGCGTTTTCCCACCGATAGCGCCACCGCCGACTAAAATACCAACATAAATAAATTGCAATTATTTGCATACCGAAGCTGTTTTTTGCACGTAAATATTGATCAATAACTTGAAATAATGCATCAGAAATCATGATATGGCAATCATAATCAATCATTTATGCTTGTAAATAGTTAGTTTTCGCCTTAAATGTTAGATGTCACAGTCAGTTTATTTAAAGACTTTTTACAGCAACTAAAGGTCAAACAATAATAAAT